GATGATGATGATGATGATGATGATGATGATGATGATGATGGTGGTGATGATAACAAAGACGACAACCACAGGAGCAAAACAACGAGAATAATAATATTGAAAGTGATTCTGATGATATTTATTTGCAATAGAAGGAAAATGCTGCTGATTAGAGAGAAAAAATATTGTGCAGCTGGCACTTGTGGCTCAATAATGTAAATATCAGTGGACCTAGTGTTCAATGTACCTAAGTCATGTTAGTAATGTAAAGTTTTTAATAGTGACATTAATGTTTTGCTAGCAGTACTAAGAATGGCTAGACTTAGCTGGACATGTCATATGACTATGTGTTACGTGACATGATTTTAGTCACATCAGTACCTGTTGTGGGTTTTTTTGTGGAAACAGGTCACGGACGAGCTGTTACATTGTTTACAGCGGGACCATGTAATGTGACTAGCTATTGTACAACATTGGAGAATTTCAGTCGTGTGAATAAATAATATGTAATTTTTATTCGTGTGACTGCATGTTGTGTGATATTTAGTCACGCGAGCAGTTATATAATTCTAGTCACGTGACCAGTTATGTGGTGTCATGTGATCGTTATTAAGGTGAGAGAGTGAGGCAGAAGTTGAAGAGGACAAAGCAAGTGTGTACCGGTTCACAGTGATAATAATCCTTGTTCCCACTGCCCAGTGCTACTAAAAGCTTAAAGAGCTCCTGTCTCAAAACGGCAAAACAAGAAACGAAGAGCACTTGTGTTTTGGTATGTGCTGTTCATTCAGTGATGGCGATGGCGTAGTGTACATGCAGCGATGGCGTAGTGGTTAGAGCATCCGCCTCGCATGCAAAAGATCCGTGGTTCAAATCCCGGTGCCGCGCAGTTCCCAGCCGGATAAAAAAAATCCACGTGGTGATGGAACTGCATTACGAGGCCTGGGGTGCGGCCGTACCGATAACCACCGCCGGGAACGCACTCCCTCACCAGAGAAGGATTGGCCACCCTGGTGCAGTATTAGGCCACTACCTCCCACATGCATACGTCAAATAACTCACGGCCCTCAGTCCTCAGCAGCTGCGAAGCAACTGAACACGGCGGCGGTCACATCTGCAACGCAGCAGAGGGTGCCAAGAATCTCTGGATCGGGACAGGCCGCTATTGGAACCTGAACTTGGCAACGCTTAACGCTAGAACCTTATCTAGTGAGGGAAGTCTAGCTGTACTGTTATAGGAGCTAGAGGGAGTTAAATGGGATAAAACAGGGCTCAGTGAGATTAGGAGGACAGATGAGGCCTATACGGTGCTACAGAATGGGCACGTCATTTGCTATGGGGGCTTGGTTGACAGAAGAAAACTTGGAGTGGAGGTCCTAATTCATAGAAACATAGCTGGCAACATAGAGAAATATTATAACATTAATGAAAGGGTGGTAAGCATCGTAATTAAACACAATTAGAGATACAAGATGACTATGATACAGGCTTCCGCGCCTACATCCAGCCATGTTGACGCTTCAGTTGAAAGCTTCTATGAAGACGTGGAATCGGCAAAGAGTAAGGTAAAAACACAGTATACAATACTGATGGGAGACTTTAATGCAAAGGTAGGGAAGAAGGAGGCTGGAGACCAGGCAGCAGGAGATTATGGCATCGGTACTAGAAACGCCAGAGGACAGCTACTCGTACAATTCGCAGATTGCAATAATTTACGGATTTTGAATACCTTCTACCGAAAATGAGGAAAGCGCAAGTGGACATGGAAGAGCCCTAATGGCAAAAATAAGAACGAAATACACTTTATAATGCGTGCACATCCAGGCATCGTGCAGGATGTGGAAGTGGTTGGCAAGGTACGATGCAGTGACCATAGAATGGTGCGGTCTCGAATTCGCCTAGACTTGAAAAAGGAACGACAGAAACTGATACGCAAGAAGCCATTCAATGAGCTAGCACTGAGAGGGAAAGTACAGGAATTCAGAATCTCGCTTCAGAACAGGTACTCGGCTCTTAGTGAGGAAACCAACCTTAGCGTAGATACAATGAATGATAATCTGACGAGTATCATTACGGAGTGTGCAATGGAAGTTGGAGGTAGGGTAGTTAGACAGGACACTGGCAAGGCTTCCTAGGAAACGAAGAATCTCATTAAGAAGCGTCAAATTATGAAAGTCTCAAGTACAACAGACAAAATAGAACTGGCAGAGCTTTCGAAGTTGATTAATAGGCGTAAGGTATCCGACGTAAGAAGGTATAACATGGAGAGAATTGAACACGCTCTGAAAAATGGAGGAAGCGTCAAAGCAGTGAAGAGAAAACTTGGGATAGGCAAAAATCGGATGTATGCACTAAGGGACAAAGAATACAAAATAACTACCAATATGGATAGGATAGTTAAAACAGCGGAGGATTTTTACAGAGATCTGTACAGTAGCCTGGACAACCATGACTTTAATACTATAAGAACTAGCAGTAACCCAGATGACACCCCACCAGTAATGATAGAAGAAGTCAGAAAAGCTTTGGAGAGTCTGCAAAGAGGAAAATCTGCTGGTGAGAATCAGGTAACATCAGATCTGCTGAAAGATGGAGGACAGATTGTGTTAGAAAAACCAGCCACCCAGTTTACGAGGTGTCTCTTGACGGGAAGATTACCAGAGTCTTGGAAGAACGCTAACATCATCTTATTACATAAGAAAGGAGATGACAAGGACTTGAAGAATTACAGGCCGATCAGCTTGCTCTCTGTGGTGTACAAGCTATTTACAAAGGTAATTGCTAACGAGGTAAGAAAATAGAATCAATCAACCAAAGGCAAGCAGGATTCGAACAGCTACTCAACATTGACCCACATTCTACTATCAATCAGTAATAGAGAAATGCTCAGAGTATACCAACCACTATACATAGCCTTCATAGATTACGAGAAGGCGTTTTATTTCAGTAGAAATATCAGCCGTCCATGCAGAACACTGCGAATAAGTGATAATGAAGTATATATAAACATTCTGGAATATAAACAGAGGATCAACTGCTACCATAGTGCTCATAAAGAAAGCAACAGAATACCAATCAAGAAGTTGTAAGGCGGTGGACACAACTCCCCAATGCTATTTCCCGCGTGCTTCAGGAGGTTTCAGAGCCTAGAGTGGGAACAGTTAGGGATAAGAGTTTAATGGTGAATACCTTAGTAACCGTGCGCGTCCCGATGACATTGCATTGCTGATAACTCAGGGGAAGAATTCAACTCATGATTACGGAGTTACACAGGGAGAGCAAAGGTAGTCTTAAAATGAATCTGCAAAAACGAAAGTATGTACACAACCTCGGAAAAGAGCAGCGCTTCGAGATAGGTAATATTGCACTTCAAGTTTAAAAGAGTAAGTCTACTTAAGCAGGTATAACCGCGGAGCCGAACCACTGATTGAAGTAACTAGAAAAAAAGAATGGGGTGAGCACATTTGGCCAGTACTCTCATTTTATGACAGGTGAATTGCCACTATCCCTCAAGAGAAAGGTAATAACAGCTGTATCTTGCCGGTACTTAGCTACAGACAAAACCTGGAGACTTACAAAGATGGTTCAGCTTAATTGAGAACGACGCAGCGAGCATATAACGAATAGGTAGTGTACCTTAAGAGACAAGAAGCGAGCAGAGTAGATTAGGAACAAACGGGGTTGAGGATACCATAGCGGAATCAAGAAACAAATGGACATGGGCTTGGCATGTAGCGCGTAGACAGGTGAACCGCTGGCGTTAAGGAACTAACTAGATTCCCAGAGAAGGAAAGCGGTAAGGGGAGACAGAAGGTCGTGGGCAGTGAGATTAAGAAGTTTGCGGGTATAAATTCGCAGGAGCACACAGCACAGACGGGTAACTGCGGAACATGGGAGAGGCCTTTGTCCTGCAGTGGACGTAGTCAGACTGATGATGATGATGATGATAATGATGATGATGCTACAGCAGAACCATCAACAAAAAGTGAACAGCTTCGTAGGGTCAAGTATTGCCTTACGGACATCTAGTGGGGCCTTCGTTGATTTGCAAAAGAAATAGTTATGCCGTATTGTGCACCTAGCAACCGTGCTTTCAGTAGACATTTAACGGTACTTTGAAACGACCAGTGCTGCGCTAACAGTCGTTAGTTCTCTTAAGGAATCGTTGAGGCATGCACCAAGAGCAGAAGCAGGCTAGCAGTCCAGGAGCCGATGCGCACGCAGCCCGATAACGATATCACGATCTGCTCTCAAAGACGAGGCTGAAGCTTCTTCGAATCTTAATAATTTTTTTTCATTTTTATGGATCTTTTGATCATGGACCTAACTGTTGATTTTTCACTGGCAAACATCTACGTTGATGCTAACACCAGAGTTTCTATGAAACAAGCCGTTTAACACTATCGCGTTATAATTTGCTTAGAGTGTTCATATCGCAATAACAGAACGGGACCAAAGTTGAACTGCGTTTTCTCTCTGCTGAGAAAATATATTTCAAATAAATGTATTGCATTGAATTTTATTTATAGCTGCCGTTAAAATGTAAAAACACTGAAAGAATAAGAAAGGTGGTTCTAGCGGCCGTACATTGTACGTAACTATTTATACAACTCTTTCCCCCAAAAGTGATGCTAATATCATTGTTGTTGGTCTGAATTCTGCATATCAATTAAACGCTAATAAAATTGTGAATGGCAACCAGGACTCCCTCTGCATTCTTATCCAGACACGCCGTGCTATGGTTACCTTGATTTATTTGCCGCATGAAAAGAGAACAGAATGGTATTGGGTTATTCTGCTTAGCTTTACAACCCTAATTGCCAGTCTTATAGCATAAAAGTAAGTCCTGGCAGTACTTCAGCACTAGAGTACAGTAAATATTGCCAGGCTTACGCCGGGCATTGTTAGGTCCCAAGAAAAAATGAAGTATTTTTCAGTCTTAGTGCAATATTCGTAACCATGACGACGACGTGAAGATACTTGTCTATTTTCTGTGCTTCATTTGGCTCTGCCCATTCCTACAGGTGCGCGACTGTGAATATTTTGGACTTCGTGACCTGAAACACACAAGGCAGCATGTTAGAGCCAAGATCTCCGAGTTCCTGAATGAAGTCATTAGTTGTGGAGTAGCCGGATTTCGTGTCGATGCCGCCAAACACATGTGGCCTGCTGACCTGAAAGTTATCTACGCGAAACTAAACAACCACGGCTTCCGCTTGTACCCAAGCAAGCTGCTCGTAGCGTTTGATGAAAGGAAGGACGACCTTGACGCGTACATTCACCGATTTGAGACAATTGCGGGAAGCTAGAATCGGCCGGAACATCAATGGGCAACTGCTTTGAGTACTTGCTTGAGTGGTGAAGCGCTCAATGTGTACAGTAGGCTGACGCCGACCGATGCAGCCAACTATGCAAAGGTGAAAACTGCTTTGCTGAAGCGATTTAGAATTACTGTGGAAGGATTCCGGGACAGATTTCGGACAGGAAAGCCAGCTGATGGTGAGACGGCTATGCAGTATGCCGCCCGACTTCGCCATTATTTCGACAGATGGATTAAACTTACAGGGATAGGGCAGGAGTACGATGAGCTTAGAGAGCTCCTAATTAGAGAACAATTTCTTACTAGTTAGCCACACAGCCCTTAGATCGTGCTGTAACTTCGTAAAGCAGAGGAGACTGCTACGGTCACTTGAAGACATTCGTGAATTAAGCGAGCCAATTCTTGGAAGCGCAAGGTGACACCTAGAAAGTTTTGGCTAAGGACAAAAAGGAGAGTGTAGCCCGCAAGAATTCCGACAGAAAATCGGCCTCCCGAAGAAAAGAAGCGTGCCACACGGGCAGCCATTCCGCGATGTGTTTTCCTGTTGTAACCGAGTGGGTCAACACCGTGCTAGCAACGGCCGAAGTAAAACTTCAACGAGCCCGCATAGGTTGTAAAATGTTTCAAATGTTGTTCAGACTGGCAACAAGGCAGACGCATGTCGTAACGGAGCGAGTCAACATCACCAGGTATCATGTGTGCTAGCAGCACCGAAATCCGATGGTGATGCCGTCACCAACGGATTTGTGGAGTTGAAAAATGAGGAGAAACTTCCTATTGTGGGTGCTGTAATGACAAAACAGCCGACCGGTGTTACGAAGGGAATGCCAACGCTGCCTGAAAAAGTTGCGGGCAAAAAGGTTACGGTGTTAAGAGATACCGGTAGCTCTACTGTTATCGTGCGGAGAAATTTGGTGCGGGAAAGTGAGTGAAGTGAGTGACAGGATCGGTAGAATGTTATGAACCGTTAACGGTGTCCAAAGGGACAACGATGGCTGAGACGCCGCCTCAGATATCGTCGTTGGAAGGGACTCGCCGAAAAGGAACGTGGAAACACAAGAAGAGATCGAGCGAACACCGCAAGAAAGGGCGCAAGCGCCGTTCGAAATGCACAGGATAAGTGTTGAGGACAAATCGAATTGTGTTTGACAGTGCTATATCTTAAGTAAATGTGGTTGTTGTCCTGTGTCACAACTGTATGTCGAGTGAATCAAAATTTTTGTTACGGTGATGTGATGTATAGTATTGTACAATTTGTTGTAAAAAGAGAACTTTGGACATTTGTATTGTCTAGAATATGTGATGGAGTATTGTATTCATGTACCTGTGTCTATATTCTATGTGTTGTGAGATTGAATTGTAATGTACAATTGTATTGAGTGATCTATTGTGAATGTGACGTGTCAGGAGCGACGGACTATGTTACAGTCTCTGAGATTGTGGGGACTGTTCGCGCTCGTTTGTGTGGTTTTGAATATTATAAGATAATATTCCTAAAGTGCGGGCAGTGTCACAAAAAGAGCGCTCAAAAAGGGCACGCCGCCAAAGTCTCGCGACGAAACGCCGGAGTGACGCCGTGAGGTCAACGATAAAAAAGGAAAACAAACATCCAAAGACTCCCCGGGCGCGCGACTCTCTCCCTCGGAAGCGTGGGTTCGCCGACGAACCTCCTCTCATCGGCGCCCGAGCAAGCCCTCGAATGTTCTAGATGGAAAGGGGCGGGGTGATGCCGGGTTGCGTCATCCGTCGCGGACGGCCTTCGAACCGTCTCGCCCTCTCCCCTGCCTTCGCTGCGTATCGCGCAGATGAAATGAGAACTTTCTGGAACCTCGCGCGGAAGGTATTTATTCGAGCAGCCGAGATGAGAGATCAGGAGAAGACGGAAGTTGGCGCCAGAGTGCGTAGGGATTCCGCCGTGTAGTCGGCGAAGGTTTTGTCCGTAGGGACAAAGCAGGAGAAGAAGAGGATTCCCACCTGAGGGGTGAAAGCTCGAGCTACAGGCAAGAGCGTGTGTCTACCGCTATCGAGCGAAGACGCGTGGCAACAGCTGCGTTTGTGAAGCCGACGTGTTTCCCGGCGAAGAAGTTTGAAGCTTGGAGAGCGGCCAAGTGAAGACGTAAGGTTTCCTTGAAGACAAACTTTGGGGGCAGTGGAACGACAGAGGTTTTTTGGAAGAGAAACTTCGGGGCAGCGGAACGACAGAGGTTTCCTGGAAGAGAATCTTCGCGGACAGTGGAACGACAACAATGCTGGACTTTGAGTGAGTGGTTCTGGGAAGAGTATCATCCAGACTTTTGTTCCAAGAAATTTGGACTTAATAGGTTTTCTACCTCTTTAGTCTTTAAGTGTCTTGGTTGTTCAACGCATGCGACTGCATTGTAGTGCGTATTGTTGTCTGTGTCCGTTGTTTCGAGTGTGGCTGCTTGTACTGTGTAGTACGTTGTTTGATTGGTGACATATTGTACTCAACTATTGTGGAGTGTGCATACTTGTGTATTGTTTTTGATCTGCCATTATTGAGAATATAATTTTGTTTTGTTTATCAACTCTCGGCTCTGACTTGTTCTTTGGGCCACAGCCGGCGTCCGCTGGCGCGCCAAAAAGGACCACTTCTAAATTGTCCACACTTTCGTGGTGTGGCTCGGGGGGCCGATATTTCGGCCCTTGGAATCAGCCCGGCGATCGCCTCCCTGATTAACGGGACCTGTGACAGCGTTATAATGGGCTTAGAGTGTTCATATTGCAATAACAAAACTGTCCCAAAGATGAACTGCGTTTTCTCTCTGCTGAGAAACTATATGTCAAATAAATGTATTACATTATTTTTTATTTCTAGGTGCCGTTAAAACGTACAAAGGGTGAAAGAATAGGAACGTGGT